AGCAAACAATGCCCCGGAAGGGCGGGGGATTGGGTTGGATCCCCAACCTGTGTATAGTTCAAAGCCCCAAACTGGGGCCCAAAAATATCAAAGTCTACAGTTTACAAAGTCTCACGAGCAAATCAAAAAGGCAGAAAAAATAACAATACAAAGTCTTTCTTCGGGCTAACAGGTGCCCAGAATAAAAGTCTGATCTAAAGAAAGCAGTAACCCTAATCTACTGGAAGCGAAATGATGGATATCCAAGTTGATCCATCCGAACAAGCGTGCGAAGGCGGAGTGGAGCAGTGTCGGTCTAAACATGTGTGGGTCTGGTATGGTGGCGCCAAGGCTGGCAAGGTAGTCAGCAGGTCTGTTCCCCTCACGAAAGATGTGTGTGATCCTGTGATGGACAAACCGAAGTAGATCTCTAATGCGCATGAGCGGGTGCTGAATCTGCCATGAGTCCTGGTGACCCGAGGTCAGGAGGGTGACGACAGCCACAGCGTCCAGCTCAATCTAAATATGACTAGAAAGGTGGGCATCAATCTGAAGGCCAAACTGTAAAGCCTGAATCTCAGCGTCATAGCTCGAGGAAGCCTGAAGGGGCGTGTGGAAAGCGGTGATGAGTACTCCACTGTGGTCCCGGATCAAGCCTCCGCCTCCGTCAGCTCCGGTATGACGATCGAAAGAACCATTGGTGTTCAGCTTGACCCAAGGGGCGTCGGGTCGAAGCCAAACAACAGCTCTGGTCCGAGGGGGGCGAACAGGCGGTGGGGGAGCCACCATGAAGCGGTGTGGTGGCGTGCAACCTGTCCAGTCTCGGGCAGTGAGCATGCCCAATGCTGTGAGGAGTGAAAGATGTCTCTCTACCTGCAAAACAATGTGAGAAAGCAGAAAAGTAATATCCCTATGCTTCGCACTATTCCTTTTCTGTCCAGGTGAACCAAAGGATCAGACAAGGAAAGAGGAAGCCCACGTGTTTAAGGTGTGTGCTCTGTGAGAAAAAACTCAAGAGCTCAAAGAAACTGTCTGTAGGTGGCACAATGAATAGATAAATAAAAAATGCGTGTGAAGTTATTTTCTTAAAAATTTATGTAACATGAAATTCCGCATGTTCGTTCATTTTTCCTGCATTAGTTTGAAAAGCATTACGTTGAAAAAATAGAAATATGAAAAAAAGTGATTAACAACTATTTCAAACACCAATTACATGACATCAAAATGAAGAACTAATGGGTCGCTTATTACATCATAAGCGTATTATATAAGTTGACATCCAAAATCCGAAACTAATAAAAAAATTGCATCCGTTAACCAAAATAAAATATTCACTAAACTAAAAATGAAAATAAAATAATCAAAATATAAATAAAATGGAAAGAAATGTACATATACGTGAGATTTGTCAGTTTATATAAGTAAGGAACAATTACTACTCTCTCATTAAATCGACTATTAACAAATGAAAAAATAAGCCATTAGAAAATTAAAATAGTAAGGCTAATTTGGTCTATCCAAATTTTTACAAAAATATTAACACTTTTAAGTTAGAAAAAAGAGATAGAGATAGAGATAGAGATGGTATGCATGAACATACTGAGTTTATGGTGGATATGTCATGTGAAGGCTGCGTAAATTCGGTTAAGACTAAGTTGCAGACTGTTTAAGGTGAGTCACAGAAAGTAGCGCTGCTCAGTGGTTCTCTTTAAGTATTTCGTTTTGTACTAAAATTACAAATTATTGTTCAACTTCTAGGGGTTAAAAATGTGGATGTGGACTTGGCAAACCAAGTTGTACGTGTTCTTGGGACCTCACCTGTGAAAATCTTGACCGAATCCTTGGAGCAGACGGGTCGAAAAGCCAGATTAATTGGGCAAGGAGTACCAGAAGGTAAACTAGCATCTTTTATTTGAATTGGTCACCTTGAAAGGGGGGCCATGCCTGTAAACTACATAATAAATGTAGTTTTTTTTTTTTCACTCCCAGATAGTCATCTTGTTGGCTCTAGTTTCAGCTGCCGTTGCCGAATTTAAAGGTCCATCGGTATTTGGAGTTGTTCGTTTAGCCCAAGCGAACATGGAATCGGCTCGTATAGAAGCCAACTTCAGTGGTTTGCCACCTGGAGAGCACGGCTGATCCATCATGAATTTGGTGATTTGACCAAAGGTGTTGCAAGCACAGGAAAAGTGTTCAAAAGATGAAAAACAGGTTGGTGTCCCATCCTCATTTTCACCATGAATGAATACATTAATTTTACGAGTAGGATCTTGAAATCCCAACATCTATTCGAGTTTTATGAATCTATCCGGTTTGAAGGATGAAAGCTTGCCATTGTTCAAGAATCCAGTTCATATGATCCCTTATATATATATATACGAAAAGGTTCTTATGAGAAGAATATCCTAATGTGAGAAATAAGAAGAGATCTTAGTCATTCATTATTGACAAATGGATGATTCATATAAGATACTTCTATCATGTCTGATAAGTAGGAAAAACTGCCGAGAAAGGGTGTTTAAGTCACTACAATTTTTGTCAATTAATGAAGTGCTTAGTGGACCAATTAAATAAGTTACAAAAATAAATAATGTTCTCTCTTTAGACTCTTTGTTGGTTCTGGTCTACGATTTTACGGAGTACCACTTTAGAATTGATTTACAAAATTTGCAACAATGTCTTTTCCTTATTGTTCTTTAGTGTTTTTCAAACATGGAATCACCAAGTCAGTCATTTTTTTTTTTTTTTTTTTTTTTTTTTTTTTTTTTTTTTTTTTTTTTTATGTGATTCATGTATAAAAAATTTCATACTTGTGTTCTCATATAAAAATATTGAGAATTCAATTGGTTAGAACTATTGAAAAAGCATCTTCTTTAGTTTCGGTCAAGTTCTGAAAACCAAATCGGTTAAGCTACTGGTTCAATGGTTTGCTGGTCGAACCGGTTGATTTTGATTAATATTAAAATATTCATGAGTTACACTAGGGGTGACACATTTCAAAGTCAAAGTCATACAATGTTACCAGTTCCTGTCCAGTTTTTGGGACCAGCGATCCCCAAACCGGACCGGCGTTCTGGACAGTACCCGGTTAAACCGGCCGGTCCGGTCCGGTTTTCTAAACCATGGTTTTAATTTCTTCTGTTATTCCAGTTTATGTTTTCTTACTACAACTTTATTTTATTACATGTGGTACATGATTTTCAATGTTATTTTTTAGTGGACATTTCCATAGCTTCAGAAACTCTGTTCACGACAAGAAATTCTTTTTTTTTTTAATCAGAATTTATTAATGGGTCTGTAGAGTTTTTAATCACATTCTCCTTGTACTTATCTGTAATACTAGTTATTTAAAATTATAGGTAATTTGTAGCAAATTTGTAGTAAAGTTTACTGAAAGTATCCTCTAGCTATTTTAAATTTGTAAGTATTGTGTAGTAATTGGTATTTGGTAGTAATAGTATGTAGGTAAAATTTCTAACTATTATTACTATTTTAAATTTGTAGTTAATTTGTAGGTAATTGGGAGTAATAATGTAATATGTTGTAGGTAATTTCTTGCTAGTTATTTATTGTAGGTATTATTTTGCTCTTTTAAATATATAGATAATTTGTAGATAAATGGTAGTAGACGTTTTTAGGTAATCTGTAGCTAGGTAGGAGGTAATTACTAGTTATTGTTAATAATATGTAGGCAAAAAGTTTCTAAAAGTAATTTGTAGTAAATATCTGCAAGTAATTTCTAGCTATGTTTTTGTGTTGGTAATTTTTTGTGTAGTGAAGGTAGGTGTGAGGCAAAATTTTTACCAACAATCACTTTACCTATAACAGACTTTGTAGACATTGTCTAGTCAATTTCCAGGCTGAAGGATTTAGCTATAATGTGTTGTCTATTTAAAGTTACATTTCATTCGTTCTACACAAGATCATCATACCAGAGAAATTATAATCACCAGCTCTATCATCACCAAGCTTACCAATCTCTATAATGAAATACATAGCCCCACTTGTAATTGCCCTCACTCTAGCTTCATTAGCTTCCCGAGCAATGGAGTTCAAGACTACTGTAAGGCACATGGATCATGACAAAAATCACAACTCAACCGAGCTCCTGCGGCTAGCTCTAGACCGAAGTAGGAAGAGGTTGTAATGACTACAAAAAGCTGTCACTCATAGAAGCCCCATTGACGTTGAAGTCCCTATTGCCTATAGTGGTAATTTCGACTATTTATCATATCTCTCAATCGGCACTCCGTCGGTATCTTTCCGAGCCTTAATCGACTCGGTCGACGCCCTAACGTGGACCCAATGCGCAACCTGCCACATCCGCTCTGCTCAGCCGACTTCCTTATTCAATCCCATGAAATCCACCTCGTACGCCACATTAAAATGCCCCAACGAGAAATGCAAATTGTTCAATTACAATGGTTGCGATAAACGTCCGTCTGGCACCACGTGCATGTACAACCTCTTGTACGGAGATGGCAGCTGGACCCAAGGCGACCTGGCGACCGAGACCCTCTGGTACGAGGCCGACAAGGTCCCCGTCCCGAGAGTCCTGTTCGGCTGTGCATATCACAGTTTTGGAGATCCAGTAAATAGAGGCGCTGGGAATTTGGGCCTGGGACAATGGAACGAAACCTTCGGCTCCCAACTCGACGTGTGCACGTTCTCCTACTTCCTGCCCTTATTGGGCTCCAAAGAGACCGACAATGTGTTATTCGTCTCTTTACCCATAAAGAGACGACCGGTCTCATTGGAGCCCAATGGGGGCAGGCAGTATGAAAATGCGAGCAAGTCGAGTGGGGAGACGAATGTTTTGTTCCATCGGCCCAAGCCCAAGTTCCCCGCGCCTCCATTTACTGGATCTCTGAAACTGTGATATGCGCAGCCGAACAGGACACTCGGTATGAGATTTTGTCAGCCTCGAACCAGAGGGTCTCTGTGGCCAGGTCGCCTTAGGTCCAACTGCCATCTCTATGCAAGAGGTTGTACGTGCACGTGGTGCCATGCGGACGTTTATCGCAGCCATTGTAATTGAACAGTTTGCATTTCTCGTTGGGGCATTTTAACATGGCGTACGAGGTGGATTTCCTGGGATTGAATAAGGGAGTCGGTTGTGTGGAGCAGTTGTGGCAGAGTGCGCATTGAGTCCACTTTAGGGCGCCGGCCGAGTCGATTAAGGCTGGGAAAGATACTGGCGGAGTGCCGATAGGGAGGTATGCTAAATACTCGAAATTGCCACTATAGACAATGGGGGCTTCGTCAATGGGGCTTCTATGAGTGGCAGCTTCTTAGAGCCATTGCAACCTCTTCCTACTTCGGTCTAGAGCTAGCTGCAGAAGCTCAGTTGCGTTGTGATTTTTTTCATAATCCACGTGCCTTACAATAGTCTTGAACTCCATTGTTGGGGAAGCTAATGAAGCTAGAGCTAGGGCAGTTACAAGTGTGGCTAAGTATTTCATTATGGAGATTGGTAAGCTTGGTGATTATAGAGTTATGGTTTAAATTTCTCTAGTATGATGACCTTTTGTAGAATGAATGAAATTTGTGCCTCACACCTACCAACAAATTTTGTTCATGTAAGTAAAGTGATCGTTGGTAAAATTTGTGCCTCACACCTACAATTCACTACACAATTGAATATATATTCTTGTCTTATTATATCATTCACTAATAAAAATGTATTATTAAATTTTATTACAAAGTACATAATACAAAATCTTCATATTTTCTATTTTTCCTAATTCTCAGTAAAAAAATTACTAAAGTGAACAAATTCTAAAAAAATGATTTTGTTTTAAAAGAATAAACATTTTTATGACAATTACATGATCAACACTACACTATCCGGGTCAAACAAACGGATAAATTTCGTTCTGGTTTTCACAGACTCATGATTCACATAACCTAGATTGTGAAGACCAACCAACCGAGATTGTTTTTTGGGCCCAAATCATGGAAGCCCGCAATTGTTGGAGTCTTTTTATTCAGTTGGACTTGGACATTCCATTAGGTCAACATATTGGCTATTTGTACCCCACTCCTCTGCATCAAGGGAAATTTACATACATAGACTCTATATAACAAAAATTATCATATATACTATTTGGAGAGAGTTCAATCAAAATAGGACTTGGTGGTGTTTTTATTTTACAACTACGAGATTTATTTTCTCACAGCGTGATCTCCTTCTCTCTCCAACCATTAAACACGCAATTAATTTGTGAGTCTTTATCTCTCTCTCCATATTTCTCTCTCCAATTAGGATTTCATTCTATCTCTAATTAAATATCATGCATTTAATTTAATTGCAGCTAAATATGTTTTTCTCTCCAATTAAAAATCATGTATTCAATTCAATTACGGCTAGAAAAACTGCAAGGAAAAAGGAAAATCGAAAAAAAAAAACAAATTTGAAACCTAGAATTTAGGAATTGGAAAGCACAAACATTGTTCTATATATATGTTCAGATATACTATACATATACATCAAATAAACATAAAATGACAGTTCTCTAATATTAATCGGATAGTTATATGTTTGTCCCATTTTTATGTCTTTATTTTGGGTTCATTTTCCTTTTATTTTCCCCATTTATAGGATTTTCTTGGTTTATTTGGTCCAATTTTGTGTTTTTGTGTTTTTCTCTTTAGTTTCGTTTTGTGCGTCTTTTTGCTGTGTTTGTGTTTTCAGGAGATAGGTTGTGCCGGTCGATGACGAGACTGTTGGAGACGAGACTGTGATGCCAAGAATACCCGTCGTGGAGCTCCGAAAGCTGAAGGGAGGACCGGAAAAATGAACTGAAGACTGCCCAGAATTTCTCGCGACTCGCGAGTGGAGTCGCGACTCGCGAGATGGTCGCGACTCGCGAGAATGTCACGACTCGCGAGTTCAACAGAGGCTAAAGATGAAGTTCGCGAGCACGAGTCGCGACTCGCGAGTCAAAGTCGCGACTCGCGAGATGGAGTCGCGACTCGCGAGACATGTCGCGACTTTCCCCAGATTTTGAAGATTTTTGCCGACGTGCGACCGCGAGATGTCGCGACTCGCGACCTGAGAAAAGTGGAAGTCGCGACTTACTCAGCGCAAATTTCGAGGTCGGGATTTTTACATCAGAATTTAGACCTAGAGATCGTTGTTCAACTTTCAAACTTAGTTTTTACGTTTTTCCTCTCTAGAAACTCATTCCTTTTCATACTTTTGCTCTTTTGATTGGATTTTTGGGAGATTGAAACTCTGTTTTCTAGCTTGGATTTGGATTGTTCATTGGATTTGACATTGGGATTCTCTTTATTAATCGTAAGTTCTTCTTTTCTCAATTGTGTGTTGATGATGATGGCTTGGGTTTATATGAATGTTGATGTTAAATTCCATATGAGTAGCTAAATTTATACGCTAGGGATAGGGGATGATTGATTATGTTCAATAATAATTGCTTGTTCTTAATTGCTCATATCTATGCGAGTTGTGCTTGTCCTAGGGTTAGTAGATTGATCACCTTTCTAAACTAATAAATCAACGTGTAGAACCGAGAGGGGAGACGTTGGTCGATATAGGCTCGTCTAGAGTAGACTTGTTCGTAACTGTATTGTCTATGCGTTGCTGGAACTGATAGTTGATCGTTTACATTCATTCTCTTATTCGTAACTGTATTGAGAGTGAACTTCTGAACGAGAGACGATTCAATTCCTTTAATCGAGCAATTGATTGCCCGATAGTTTTGTTAGAACCGAAAGCAATTATCCCCGATTCCCTAGCTCTTTAATCATTTGAGTTAATTCACTTGCTATTTAAATTGCTTTTCATTTGTTTTAACGTCATTAGCTATAATTGAAACCAAAACCATTGAAATAGAGTGTTTAGGATTTTCCCTTTTTCGTGATCGAATAATCGTACAATTGAATCCGGCTAACCTTCCTTGCGATACGACCCGGGGAACGAATCTTTCGATTCTACCCCGATAAAAATACTTACAACATTATATATAAGATAAACAACATATAAACAACAATCAAATAAACATAATATGACAGTTCTCGAATATTAATCGTATAGTTATACATAAGATAAACAACAATCAAATAAACATAATATGACAGTTCTCTAATATTAATCGTATTGTTATACATAAGATAAACAACATATAAACAACACTAAAATGGGATAAAACATAATACACAATCGTATAGTTATACATAAGATAAACAACATATAAACAACACTAAAACGGGATAATACATAATATATAATTCTGAATGACTGCAAAATCCAAATCGATGTGGTTATACATAAGATAAACAACATATGTCTACTTTACATGACATTTGCAAAGTTGAACCAACAACTTTGTGTACTCTAAAACACAATATAGTATAGATTATCTAAAACACAATATAGTCTATGTCTACAACACTCCTTCGTGGCAGCGCGCACAAAATCGGGAACTACGCTTTTCCTCTTTTGTCATCTGCATTGACATGCCCAACCACTCCGCACGCTTCATTTTCTACGGGATATCAGTGACAACAACTACAACACCGTCGTGGACAACAACATATTCACCCCTTCGATTTGACGACGCTTGGTGAGGAGGTAGGATGACCAGGCAAGGTTGTACCTCCTCGAGTTTGTCCTCATGGTCGGGATTTCCAGGTTGACGACAACAACATGACCAAGGGCTATACCATTAATAAACATAAACCCGAATATCCCCAAATCCAAGCCTCAACCTTCCAAATCCCTATCAGATGAGCAAAAAATGGATAACATCAACTTCCCAGTCAGAACACCGATGAAGTGTGTTAGTTTTTTTTTTTTTTGGATTTGTTTTGATGAGAATCTAAAATGGCGAGGTTTTTTGATAGTGAAGATATATTTTTTTTAGCCGATAATTATGGTTGGTAAAAGATTTGCACGATCTTCCAATTTAGTGGGCCAATGGGTACCATTACATGCAGTTGAAAGAATTTAATGTATAACAATTTTATTTGGTAAGTTACTTTTAGGTTATATTAACTTTAAATTATAAAAAATTCGTATTCATAAAAATAATTAGTGGATGTCGTATTCTTAAAAATAAGATTAAAAGAATTGGCACGGGGAGTAATTTTCTCCTGCATCAATCAGTTGTCTTCTTTTTTCCTTTGTTCTCTTCCAACTCTTATTATAGAATCTGCATCTGAGTATGCCCAATGGAAGCACCTAAGATTGAGATTCGGCTTTTAGCACACCAAATTTCACATTAAATATTTATTAATGGCGTTATTATAGGATACGACTACACTTCCGTCAGATTTATTGATGGAGTTATTATAGGGCACGACTACAGTCCCAGAATGGTTCTCTCAGTCTAATGAGATAAAAAAAAAAACAATAATGGGACCAGCATTTTTCGTTATTATATATATAAAGCTCAAATATTTAACATAATGGGACCAGCATTTTTCGTTATTATATATATAAAGCTCAAATATTTAAGTAGGAGGTTTAAACTTAATGGGTAATTACTAATGACTTTAGTGTATGTAAATGCCAATGAGAATAACAAAGTAAAATTTTTAGGTGAAGAGAGTTCGATAAATGTTGTTTGACTAACGCCAGATAGGGTACCAACCGAGGCTCTTTTACCTCATAACTGCCGAGGACCTGGTTAACGAGCAGCTGGGAGTCCGAGAAGACGTTTAGGTGGGAACTTTTTTTACCAGATAGTGACATCTTAATACATACAACAAAAGGAGATATCACATGTTAATATGGTGGGCACATGTTAATATGCCCACCGTTTATGTAGCATGCACACATTGATGATATTAATATGTTAAAAAAAATACATCACCAATGTGTGCATGCCACATAAGTATAACATACATATAAGATCA